CTACAGTGTCTCCAGAATCCAGGACGCCTGTTGAGATAAGGTTGATTCCTGCCTGCTCAACAAACCAGCTGTTGTACAGCTGTTATACCAATGACTCCCTCCCTAAAAGAACAGGTTCCTCAGTACCTGCCATGAACCTAAACAATGTCTTCCCTGCTACAGACAAGACCTTGATTATCAGCTGTCGGAAACTGTCAGAATCAAGCCTTCCAACAACTATAATAAAACTATGAAAAATCTTTCAAAGATTCCTTTGACATGAGTGGTGCTCACCTTGAACAACTATTTATACACACACAGAGACATAACCATATCCACTTTGTGCATGCTCATAAATACACATAGGCACAAATTTCTCTGCTGACTGAAGGAAATCCATAAACTTGTCTGTGATACTGATTAATTTGGATTTTATTTGAATCTTTTTATTTTTTTTACTTGATTTTATTTAAATCAAATTTTATTTGAATCTTAAGACACATGTTTTCTGAAAAGACTGTACATACAAGCATTTTGAATTTTCTAGAATATACATCATTTCAAGTATTTCCCATCTTCTAGGGCCTCCACTCTTAGGTAAAATAACAAATGCTCTGATCATGTCGCTCTCATAACTTGGTCTGAATACTATTACTCCGGGGAAGAGGTCTCATTTGCAGGTTCCTTTTACTCTCCTACGGGGTAATGTTCTGAATTTAACTAGTACCCTTCAGAATTCATATTCTAGATTTAGAGAAATTACAGAAAGACATTAGAGAAAACCATCATGTGAGGGAACACACACTATAGAAAGAGAAAACGGCTTGGCGTCCTTTCTCCAAACAGTGACATCAATTAGAAATTACTTACAATTAGTAAAAATATCTTCTGAAGATACTCCTTATCAAATAAACTGTAAGAAAAATATTTTAATGTACTTTTCATGTTCTTCATATTTTATTTCCTGTTTTCTGTCTCGACACCAAAACTCCACTCCTTCAGTCAGATAAAGGGAGGTGACTGAGAATCAAGTCCGAGGTACTCTGGTGAACCAGATGCCACGCTCCCAGTCAGGTGGAGCTGGTGTGGATAGAGGACCCGAGCGTTAGGAAGCGCACTGCCTCTGTGTGCTGCTGTCGTCCCACAGGCTCAGCTGAGCCTCCCAATGTTCTTCTTCCCACTGGGTAGGAGAGTGGAGAAAGAGCGATGCTAACCCTAGACCAGTGGTTCTGACCATCCTGATGCTGTGACCCTTTGATACAGTTATACAGTGCCTTATGCTGTGGTCCCCAACCGTAACATTATTTCGTTGCTACTTCATAACTGTAATTTTGCTACTGTTATGAATCTGTGTTGCTACAGATATGCAGGATCTCTGTAACCCCCAAAGGGGTCTTGACCCACAGGTTGAGAACTACTGTGCTAGAGTGAGCGAAGCAAAGTTCTGTCACAGTCTCAACGCTGACATTACACACCAGCCACATGTGCTTGGGAGCACTTTATATAACTGTATCTACTGAAAGATTTAAAAACTTAAGTAATGTCTACATCTTCAAAGTGTTGTGAGTCTAGATTGGCAAAGAGTAATTAGCGTCAATGAAAATGGCTGCACCTTATGTGTCCTCTTCCTACCCGACCCTCATGGTCTGGCTTACATTTAGGCCTGAAAATCCTCTCAGTGCAAATTAAATATGCATGCACATTAAACCTCCACAACTAGGCTGCCAATCCCACGAGGGCAGAATCTCAAGGCCTTCGACTCCTGGTTCTTCGCTCCCTTCTACTCTTCTTCCCACTGTCAGCCAGTTTTTCACAGTAGCTGTGGTAGCGCAGGCAATAAATATCCTTATGAAAACTCAAACAAGAACTGCACCAGCTGATATCCTCCCTAAAGTGCGTCAATAAAACCACCAGGGGCCATTTAGAGAGGAAGGGAAATGCCATGATTGCCATGGCAGACCGGGCCTCCCATAAGCCTCAGCAGCTGGGTTCCCATGGTAAACACGTAAGGTCCTCTTAGAGCGCTACCAGCACCCTACATTTCCAGCGTCTAGACTAGTCAGCCCCTTAGACCATCTCAGTGTGAAGAAGCATTCACGAAGCGCACACGGTAAGAAAACACAGCAGGCAAAAGCTCCTAGTGGTCTCACTTGCTGCACCACGCCATTACAGAAAGGCTATCACGTATCATGAGCTAAGGGGTATCATTTGCAGATTTACTTTAGTCTCTGACTGGGTACTGTTTTGAATTCAACTGGTATTCCCAGATTTCATATTCCAGATTCAGAGAAATGAAAGAAGGATGTTGGAGAAAACCCTTAGATGAAGGAACATGTATCGTAGAAAGAGAACATAACTCAGTGTCTCCTTCCTTTAAACGATGGCATGTCAATTACAAAATACTGACTGCTGTATTTATAATTATAAATAATTAGTAAAAATGTTTTCTGAAGGCACAGCTTATCACATAAGCTGTAAGGAAAACCCCAAGTGTTAGGATCCATTTAAGAATTCACCATGCTTCATCATTTTAGTAATTTTTGATGTATTTGAACTGATGGTGATAACAGCGGGAATGATAACACTTACTGTTTACCACGTTTGAACCTGTTGCCTCTAACTACACAAGGTTAGCAGGTTCCAGTTTCAGTGAGGTCAGGCATCTGTCACAGTGGAATATTCACCGTAGCGCTCTCTCCATAGCTGAGGATAAGCTTGAACTTCTGATCCTCCTGCCTCCACCTCCCAAGTCCTCAATGACAGCTGTGTACCACCATACCCAGTGTGTGGGGTGCTGGGGCTCAAACCCAGGGCTGCACTCATGCTAGGTAAACACCACCAACTAGCCACTTAACCACCCCTACAGCCCTGCTTCTCCGTTCCGTTCACGTTCCTTAGCAAAGATAGCGTCTCAGTCTCAGCCTAAAGCTGCCTACGGGAAACCCTCCCTCATAGGGTTGTTTCCAGCACTGTAGGATGTACACTACCTTCAGCTGGGTGATGCTCCATCCCCACCTCGCAAAGCCCTGGTAAAAAAAGACCTCTTTCCAGACACTGCCAAGTTGTGGGCCATCAAGAACACATCTGTTGGCAACAGGGCACGTTCATGTTTTAAATTACTCAGAGGGGTAAAGCACTTCAAACTGATGGTTAAGCAAAAAGTCTTAGTAGTATCTGTACTCAACAGATGATGATGCTCTCTTGCATCTACGTACCAAGACTATAAAATCATGGTCTGTAACACCACCCAAACCTCACTTGCAGGAGTGCAGTCCTTCAAAGTCATCTTGGGGCAGTTGCAGGGGAGCTCAGTGTCAAGTCACCGTTTTAGAAGTGTCTCCGGCCTGGCCTCGAGCTGCTCGCCTCTCTCTCTTGCTCTCCTCACCTCTTTCCCCAGAGCACCACATACAAACCAAGCCTGACTATCGTGCACATCACATTTGCCTTTTCTCTTAAGCCGAGTGTGCTATGAAGTTTTACAAACACTATTTTCAAATTGTGTTTTGAATATGTTTTGTGTGCTTTCCTAGTAAGTCTAATTTGAAAGGACACAGTTTGCTACAACTGTAGATACTGGGCAAACAAGACAAAACAAAACCAATGACCTCCAAACAGCGGATGACACTTACGGGCTGTAGGCAGGGTCGCCAGAAAACAGATCTTGAGAAAGCTGAAAAGCAGCCATCAGAAAAGCACTCTAAACAGCTGAGGAGATGGCCATGCTCCGGGCCACAGCAGCAAAAGCTACTGGAGAGGCCAGGACAGACCTTCTCCTCCCGGAGCTGTGTGCTTGGTGCTGACAAGGAAGCAGCATGCCATCCCAAAGACTTCTGCTGCTGCGTTGGCGGGGCAGCCTGCAAACTCAGACCAAGTGATTCAAGACTTAGAGGGAATTCAAGACTGACAAACAAAATACAGTGAGACCGGGAATGAAACCTGTCCTTTCTTATAGGATCAGACCTACAACATCAGCTCAACAAAACAAAAGCTATGAAAAAATTCCCAACAGTGCAAAAGAGCATGTAAATGAATTAAATGCATAAAATGGGAGATGAAAAAATACATATGGTGTCAACTTGGCAGAGCACTGTGTCTCAATAAAACCATAAACCTTTTCATAGGTGCCCATCCGTCACACTTTGGAGCACTACCACCTAAGTGATGTGGTAGGTGGCAATTCTAAGATGACACGCCCCTCTTCCAAAGGATTCATGTTTCTCAGGGTTATGGATGATGGCTATAGCGCTGGGGTTGGAACAAAAAACTAGACTCACTATTCTCCTTAAGAAAAAGGGGAATGGATAGGTACAGGACATTAAGGCAGATTATTGTATTTACTAGTAAACTAATTTAGTAAAATATCAGCTTTAGATAATTTGCACTGCTATGGATTCTTGTATATTGATACAAATGTAAAACTATATTTCTTGTATTGTACATATATTTCTACTCCTATTTGAAATATCTTATATATTGATACAAATGTAAAATTATATTTGTCATACTGTATGTATGTTCTACCTCTGTTTAGGATAGTTTGTATACTGATACATACTGTTGTCATATTGCATACTGTACTATACATTTCTACCTTTAAGATATTTTGTGCACTGTCACAATTTTGAGGCCACTGTCCTTTTACTGTACATTTGCTTACAGATGGTTTACCTTGTTTATATGAAGCCTTGGTCCTTAGGTTATTTAGGTAGATAAGACTTACAGATTTATAGTCACCCATGCTTGTCACCTCTATAGTTATGTTAGTTAGGTTGTCTGGATTTACAGATATATAGGTCAAATGGACAGGTAATCTTCAAATACTTCACAGACCTAGAGAATATGGCATTTAAATAACTTAGAATTCTGTTGACATGAGACACAATTGCTCTTGGCAGCACCAATCTGATTCCGAGAGAATGTTGGGCTTTTAAGATACTCCATATGGAAGTTTGTCTTCTTCCTGGTGCATAATGGCCTGCTGGGCAAAGAGCTGCCCTTACCTTGACTGCTGACATGAATGCTGTCCTTTCTGGACGAGCAAGACACAAGGAAAAGCAACTACTGAACTCTGCCAAGACAGGGTAAGGTGGTCTTTCAAAATTCCTGCTTCTGAAAATGGTCTTTCACATATTCTAGGCCTGTAGCCAAATGGGATGCCCTAATGGTGCTGAGAAACTTTAGGTGACTATCTAGGCTGCCAGATGTCTCTGTCCATTCTTGAAAGATTTCTGAAAGCTGTTTGTATGCATTTCCCGTTTTCTCAGGTATTATTATATTCCTTCTCAGGTCTTTGATGGAGTTGAAGACTCTTAACAGTTACTGTTACAATCTTCTCGTGTCTTAGCTAGAACATATTAAGAACTAGATTCAGATTCTTCAGGATAGGACAGCTTTTGGAATAATCTCTCTAACATACCATTTACCTATGTTCTGAACATCTCTGGATTTTAGTGTCTCTTGTTTGATGTTGTTCTTGTTGGTGGTGGTTCTATTTGTTTATGTCATTACCCTTTATTTCTCCTGGACTATACTTGATAATCATTCCTATTGTATCTACTATATATAGTTTTATGTTAGGTTAGAACTTGCTTATTTAGACAAAAGGGGGAGATGTAGTGGGTGGTTGTTTGAGCCATGCCCTGAAGCACCGCCCCTAGGGAGGTAGTAGGTAACTGTTACACCTGCCTATGAGGTACATGCCCCTGGGGCGTGGCCGCTGGGGGACCCTTAAGACCTGGGATGCACACACGTGCTCTCTCTTTGCTATCTTGTGGTTTTGGATGCTGTAACAGACCAGGCCACAGCTCACCAGAGAACAGCAGAGGACAGTGACAAATCCTTTATTCTGTCTTATGAGTTAACCCCCAAATAAATTCCTTTGCTCATTAAATAGACTCCATGGATTGCTAGCAATATAATCACAATAAAGTGGCACATATATTCAAGGTGAGCACACTGGAAGACAGAAGAAATTCCACACAACTGCCAGGAGACATGTGAGCCCCACAGTAAAAGGAGATGACACATTTTCAGTGGTCAGCAACCTGTGTGACAACAGCTAACCCCTGGTTTTAGGGACTAACTGATGAGAACACTCAGCAGACAACTCACCCAAGCCTGCCAACTAACTGCAGCCAGAACTCCAGCTCACTGTGTCATCAATAAGGAGGCCTAAAGGTAATGGATGGCCATGTGCTGGAGGCTGAAGAGGAAAGATTTTAAACTCTGGATATAAGAATTAGCAACCAGAGCCGGATGGTGGCACACGCCTTTAATTCCACCATTCAGGAGGCAGAGGCAGGGGGATCTCTGTGAGTTCCAGGACAGCCTGGTCTACAGATTGAGTTCCAGGACACCTAAGGTTGTTACACAATAGAGGGGAGATTTTTTTTTTAATTTGCATGAATGAAAAATATAGAACTAGCCGAGCGGCAGTGGCGCACGCCTTTAATCCCAGCACTTGGGAGGCAGAGGCAGCCAAATCTCTGTGAGTTTGAGGCCAGCCTGGGCTACAGAATGAGTTCCAGGAAAGGCACCAAAGCTACAGAGCAACCCTGTCTCGAAAAAAAAGAAAGAAAGAAAAAAAAGAAAAGAAAAGAAAAAAGAAAAAGAAAAGTATAGAATTATTTTCAGATTGACCTGATAAGATAACATTAAAACCAGGAAGTTTTTAAATTTGAATTTAAATTCTTGAGGTCAGAGTTGTAGCCTAGAGTGTTTATCAGTACATGCATCACAATGAACTCAATACTGCAAAAGATGACTATATAAAAACTGAATTTTGTTATGGTTTAATTTTTTTAATTCTTTAAAGAAAAAACCAGTAATAGCTATAGACACTGAATGCTAGAACTTCTATAACTAAAAGTTGACTTTTAAATAAAGATGTACTCCACATACATAGAAGAAAAAGTAGAAGGGGACCTTGCGATTTACCCAAATTGAAATCAATTATCTTAAACTATGATTGACATTATGTGAAACAATTAAAACCTATACAAGAGGAAATATATATATATATATATATATATATTATAGTAAAGAGGAGACTGGCTTAACTTTATAAAAATTATATTAATATAATAAACAAAAGATAGGAAAGGAGGGAAATATTCGCAGAGGCAAAATGAGCAGAATTTCGGCATTGACCTCCCTTAGCACAGAGTTGAAAGCCATCACACGAAGACTGCATAGGACTGCCCTTCCTCAGGGCAAACACAGGACCAAGGGACAACAGAGGTAGGAAGGAAACAGCCCGGCTCCTCTGTAAAGAAGTCAGTTTCCCATCACCATCACTCATGTTCACAGGGAGCCACAAGGCTGCACTCCTGCAGACTAGCCAGATGCAGGACAACCTAAAGCCCCAGTGACTCTAAGAGTGCACACATGGTTAGTGCGTGTCCATGGGCGGGGCACCAACCACGTGTCTTGCACACCATGCTTTTCCTAATAGAGCTCGCTATTTAAAGAGCATTTCCTATCCTGAGAACATGATCGTTCACAGTAGTCACCTTAAAGTTCAAACACACGACTGGTGACAGCCGGGATACATGAGTTCAGACTTCTGCTTTATCCCTTTCTTCCCCAAGTCTCTACAATGATGCTGATGTACTTTTCTGTCCATAGATTATGGAAACAGAGCTTATGGCACAGTAAGTCAGCCCACATCACAATGAACTGACTATAGGAATAAATGGCCTCATACCCATGTCCAATAGATACAACACAGTCACACACAATCTTGGATTTTTAGGGCATCAGAACTAACTTGGAAGACTCAGAAAATTAAATAGTAAAACCACCATCTGAATCAGAAACATGGGACCATTTAAGGTAGATTAACTATTATAAACAAAACTCTATAAAGTGGCTACTTGATGATTAAAGGTTTTTAAGTCCTTGGAAATGGTGCTTACTCCATTGGCCCGCCCTTCTCATGAGGAACATGGCTGTATCTTCTCAAAAGAACAGTTACCTACAGACTCCCCTACTCAGTGCAACTAGACGAACTACTAAGAACTTCACTGCTCTTCCCAGAAGTTTGTCTTCCCATATTTACTGTATGGAATGGTAGGAACGAGTGTAATGGTCAGGACGTTAAGACGGAGCTGGAGAGATGGCTCAGTGGTTGGAAGTGCTGCTGGGCAACCGTGAGCACGAGTTCAGAGCCCAGCACCCACTTCACAGGCCAAGTGCATGTCCCAGTGCTGTGGGGTCTTTCTGGCTGCTGGCCTAGCCAAAAAACAGGAGCTTCAGGATGAGGGAGACTGCCTCAGGAGTAAGTCAGGGACTGAGAGAAGACACCAGGCAACTGCTCCTCTGGGCCTCTGCTTGCACACAAGAGTCAGGTATACCTGAGCACATGTGCACGTTTAACACACACACACACACACACACACACACACACACACACACACACACACACACACACTATAATTTTATGTATGTCTATATGTGTAAAGACTTCTAGAAAACTATGGGCACTAGAAACACTTCTAGAGTAAACTGTTGTGCACACAAAGTACAGTCCGACTTTATCAGCAGATTATATACATGGTATCCAATGGATAAACTGCTACGGAGAAAAACAAGTATTCCACTAATGACAGTTTTCATGTACAAAGAATGACTGACTGACTCATTAACCTTTACATTATTCTTTTTAAAAAGGAAAATAATCAGAAAATACCTACTGCCAGGCTGGAAAACAGGGTTGAGCACTCTGCCAATTCCTACGGACTTATAATGGCTTCCAGAAAAGCACCACACCACAACAAACTACTCCATTACGGATCGGATCCTGAAGCCATTCTGGGTCGGTGGAAATAAGCTGTGATTAACTGTCATGTCTGCCGCGATCACAGCATAGTGCGCAAGGCCACGTATGTAACGCCAACTTACAAGGCAGTCAGTAATGATCTACGCTAGGCCATTACAATCACCTCCCAAAGTCCTTACGATTTTGAAAAAAACGACTCTTTGTTTGTGTTTTTGCAGGTCTGAGGGCATGGTGTGCCAGGGCACACAGGGAGGATAGAGAAGAACTTTCAGGAGTTGGTTCTCTCTCCACCATAGGGTCCTAGAGACTGAGTCAAAGCCATCAGACTTGGTGGTACGCACCCTTAGCCACTAAGGCACCTCACTGGCCCCTAAAATGGAAAAAGACCAGTTAAACACTCAATGCACTGTCCAAGACATCTATATAAATGTTAGCTCAAGGTCACCAACACCTCTCATCCCTCAGCTTGGAGAGGACTCACCAAATAGTTCTATTTGACTACAAAGGAGGCAGTGAATCCAGTCTCCAAAGTTAAGTCTAGATGTAAAACTGCAAGTTAGGAGACATGTTTTTTATACCAGAAATGTTAATAGGAAAGAAATGGATTTCTTCACAGCCTGGAACCTGGCTCATCGCGGAACACCTCCCTAGCATGTGTTCAACTCACAGCACTGAAAAAGGGGGGGAGGGTCCCAATTACCTAAGGAACATTAAAACACAGTGTCATATTTAACTCAGTGCCAATTGTTCTTCAAGATAATGTAGGTCTTAATCGTTCATCAGGAGCTCTTTGCAGCACCTACGACAGACCCACTGGGAACACAGAATGAGAAGCACCCACAGGCCCCTGTTGACGTGGAGCTCACTGTGTGGCCCTGTGATAGGAATTCCAACCACGCCCCCATGGCTGTGCATGCCTGGCGGGACACTTAGTCATCTCCACCTAGTCATTTCCGGGTCATATGTCCTGCTTGACCTGCGTGACCTATGCCCCATGGTTACAGTGGTCGAGTAGCCGCTTGGACGTGATGTGTGACCATGTGATCTATGCGCATGCGTGGAATAGCCACATGGGCCTGTGTGCGCAGGTGCATCCTGGCCTTTATAAGGCGGGCTCCATGTTTCCCTGCTCACTTTTTCCAAGGTGTCCCTCCACGGGCCTGATCACACCTGTCCCTTTCTCTCTATCTTGATGAAACTCTTGTTAGTGGATTCTGTCGTGTGTCATGACTTTCCCTTGGGGGCAAGAGCGCTGCCAAACCCATCACCCTGTGGCAGGGAAGGAAGGCAGCCCTGAGCCAGGCAACTGCGTCCAGTGTTCCAATGGCAACCACAGCCTTCCAGAAGAGGGCGCTTGGAGGAGCTGGGCAAAGTCTCTGTAGGCAACTCTAAGGTCAGCAGAGCAAGGGAGATGCAACCGCACAACATCCCATGCAGGCTGTGAAGACTTCAAGTTAGAAAAGGAAGGTATTTGGCACATTTAGGGAGACAGACAACAGCAGCAATTTCTGGGAATTCAAGTTTTTTGTTTGTTTGTTTTTTTTTTAAACAAAGAAGCAAATTACTGTCAGTAAGAACCAAAATCTGGATAAACACTAAAAACCAATGTAAGACAAAGACAAACACATTTTGATAAAATATAAAAAGTTGTAGTCACTAACTCAAGTTGCTGTTTTTGAATGTACTGTTTTCAATGAGAATAAAGGAGCCTTCAGTCAGCGCAGTGCTGAATGGGAGCCACCTTTTGAATCTCAAGGAAAGCATGCAGAAGAAAAAGACATCACAGAATTAGCGACACTTCTCTGAGTAGCTATTGGAATGAGGCTCAGAATTAGAAAAGTAGTTATGTGTTTAAGAAGATTAACTTCTATTCTGAGTAACTGGGCCTACTCTAAGAGAAAATAGTACCTTTAAGGTCCCATTTATGATGTTTCTAAAAGTAGAATATGTAATTTTGCTACAGGCTTTGTGACCTACTTCCTCAAATATTACAAGCAATGAAGTTTTTCAACAGTTACATACTTTAGCATTTACCTAAAACTGCCTGTTCGCTTACAGATTTTATCAAGAAAAACAAATAGATTCCACCAGACAGCAAACTTAATCTAAAAAAGAAATTCACGGCAGCAATGTAAAAGTGCTAAGAATAAAACAGAAACTCCTGTTGTTCACATGAAGAGGCCATTTTCTACACAGCCAGATATAGCAAGAGCGTGATGAAAAATAACGATAATTTCATGTCTGAGGCGCATGTGGGCAGAGGAGAGAAGACCGAGACATTCAACAGCCAGTCAACAAGGGCGAGCGTCATCCTCTCTGAAGCACTGTCCCGGGTCAGGACTCACGAATGACATATTCATGTTCTACCCTGTGTCGTCAGGACCAGAGGCAATGGCCTAAACTTGGTGACGTAGGGCTGCGGGGACTGCTGTCTGCAAATAAAGCTTTACGACAGACGGTGAGCACTGTTGGAGGACTGGGCACACGTGCAAGCAGCCAGCCAGAGTCCCAAGACTGAGCAACATCGTTTCACCAGACACATCCAGCACCTAATTTCAAAGTCTACTTCAGGAAAGTCATGAACAACTAAAAGGGAACAAGCTGCCGTGCCTTGGGAGCTGTCTTGCCTATTTTAGAGACCTGGCTGGCACCGGCAGGTAGGAACGACTCAGGAAGGCATCTGCTTCTGCATAGAAATGTTATTAAAAGAAAATCAATTTCTTCCTCCTCCATTAAATACATGTGGAATAAATATTTAAAGACTGTTACTATTAGTTCCCAGATGACATCGTGTGGCCCATCCCTCAGCTCAGGAGCAATTGTCATGTTGCCGCAGTGTGAGTAAGACCCAAACAGAGCTGTGCCAACTGTGGCACACAGCACAGCAAGTCCCGAGGGAAAGGGCTCCTCAAGGGAGATTCCCAAGAGGAGCTGCTGGGAGAAGGCAAGGAGGATTCTGAGAGCCTATAGACAGAATGTTAGAAAAGGAAACACAGCATTTGAAATAGCCACGAATCTACTATGGGGCAAAGCTGCTAACACAAAAATTACTTTACCCAAGTTCATGCATTCTGACATTAAATTTGCGAACATCCTGAAAAAAGAAAATTTGAAAGCGCAGAAGCCAAAGAATATTCGCAAAGCACAATTAAAAAACAAAAACAAAAAGCCTCATTTTACTTTTGTTCATCTAAAGGCCACTTTAGCCCCCAACACAAGCTGTCTTCTCAGCCTACAACCACAAACAGCATTTGGCAATGTTTGTGGGGGACAAACATCTGGGGGGGGTGTAATTCTCAGATTACATACAAATAAACCCACATGGAGGCTTCAGATGAGTTCTCCAACTACTGAATAACTCTGATGTAGCAGATTACAGTCCAAAGAGAAAACGACCAAAAACATCTAGAAGCCCCTCCTTCCTGTAGGGAAGGGACTGAACTTACTTTATTTTCTGGGGCTACCTCAAGCTCAATTATCTACACATTCAATGTAATGTAATTTCAGCATCCTCCCATAGTCACCATTTTTGAGAGGAACCATCACTTATTATGCACTGAGGACCCCAGTCCTTAGCAGGTAGACACTTAGGGTATTTCTACTATAATTTCAGGATGCTGGCTGTGAACCCTGCCAACTTTTTTGGATTTCTCCCCCTACTCTCAGCAGGGTTGACTTAGAATAAATGATATGTAAATGAAATATGAATGAAATCATTTGAACTGTGGGGCCTTCTGTAAACACTGCAACAACATTCGTATTAGCAAAAAATTCTAGTGTTTCTACTATGCTATTTTGTGTATAGTCCCTTTCTTCTCTCAAAGCTATCTGGCCTTTAGGATGCTGTTAGGAAAATAACCATGGACTGTGGGGTACTTATCTTAGGAAGCAACCATTCTCACAGAAGCTGTCTGTCGAGACTAAAAGCTCTTGTGTGGGCTAAATTTTAAATTAATGCCTAAACTATCAGCAAGTATGTCAAAAGTAAAAGCAAAAAAGCACACTCCACGTTGACCTCTGAAAATCTCTAGAGGTGTATTTTATAAATCTGGTTACAAAAGTCTGTGTTTTTGCTGTTGGAGAGCAGAAACTGCTGTAAACTGGAATCATCTAGCCTGTCTCCCAAGAGGTAGAACTCAAGTTTTATTGGCTTCATGCTGTGAGTCCCAAAGACAAAAGCCCCATCAATGCTACTGGGCTGGTCTTTCAGTTGTTTTAAAAATATAATCTGTACCCCAAGCCTTACAGTAGAGCATAATTATAGATGCTTTTTTAAAAGTCACATCATCAGAAGATCAATACTAGAATCAAGTCTGTGAAATGGAATATCTAAGTACAAATCCACATATACATGTATGAATGAATGTGTGAATCTGTTGTATGTGTTCAATCCCTCCTCCACAGCTGCCAGTTTAGCAAATGACAGTGGTTCATTCAGAAACTGTATTTTCCGTCCTCATGGCAGGTCCCCAGTACAGCACATAGCATGTGTGAACACACGGCCCAGACGCTGCCCTACCCCACCATTTAGCTGGGGCAAGGAAGAAAAGTAAGAAAACAAGCCCAGATCATCCCTCACAAGCTTTCTTATTCACGATCAAGACATCTAAATTTAAACTAAGGGGAAAGGATATTATCACACGCATCCTTTTCAGTCAGGAAGAGAAAGTTACTATCTGTAAAGCCTTCAGACCACAGGAATTCAGAGACACTTCACATCAATTATTAAGAAGCAGCCAGTCTCTTCTAGAGCAGAGGCAAAGAGGGGTAGGTCACTTGACCAGCGCATAAACACTGTGTGCTTCCTTCCTTTTCCTGCCAATAAACAGGCACAGAGAGGCCTAATGAGCTCTCAAATAAAGCCAATCAATCACTTTAAAGATATTTCTCTGACCAAGAGCTATTTCTAAACAATGGTGCACTTTCTGTAACTGTTAAAGTCACCATATTTTTAAAAGTGCTTATTTCATACGTCATGTATGGAACAAATGTGTTCTTGGTCAACACTACAGTATGTAACAGTTTGCATTCTCAGACAGCAGACTCAATAAAAACCCAAGCACTGGAAATTTTCTCTGTAAGGCTCTCCCCCTTCTTCAATGCTTCCAATAAAAGCCATTTAAAGACAATCTCAAATGCTCCACTTTTCAAAGCCTTCCTTTCAAATTGCTAACAGAAAGTGTGACTACATAAGCTTTGTATTTGAACTCTGGATAATATTAATACTGATGTTTTTAAGGCATGATTAGGGATTGGGATGTTTTAAAAAGAACTACAATGTAGTTTTATAATCACATATTTTGTCAGTTTCCTTTTATGTGCCTTTTTCACAACTATTCTTCAATCAGCAAGGCCACCATTTTTTGTAAAGAAAAAAGTTAGAAAAGAGCATATTGGCAAATTAGAAATAATTCAGAAAGAATCCAAGGATGTGCTTTCAGTCAAAGAATTAATAATCAACCTTCATCAACGTCAAGGAATGGACAGCAAGATCTGAGACCTGTCACAGGATAGCTCAAGGACATCCCCACTCCCAAACTTTTCTGTTGGAAACTACAAGGATAGAATGTCAGTTTACCCCTGAGAACCCACCCTAAAGGCTGTCTCCAGTGTTGGGATAAAGGTCTCTTATTTACTCACAGCACTCACCCAGGGACTCTCCGCCTTTGGGGGAAGCTCTATCAACTTCCTAGTGACAGTAGTGGGTCAGCGACCCACAACGAGGTCTACCAGGATCCAGAGTCTCGGGGAGGGGCCTTAGCCACGTTACAGATGTTCCACATTCTTTGTGACCCATGAGACTTTCACTCATGGGTCCCATTATCTGAAACTTCGTTTAACATTAAAAAACATGTGTAACTTTTTCTGCTCTATTCACGGACCGTCGTCTATGAACAGCAGCACTAAAAACAGTAGACTAGGTTCTATGTGCAGTGAACTGACCACATGCTGAAGACCCCGACTTGACCCTTGTAATGCTTCCACGTCTTTGCTGCTTTGATTTCCTCCTTCCAGACAGGGCTGGAAGGTGACGCAGCCCAGCCCTCGACTCTCAGTCCTCCTTGCTCAGATGCCGGTGCTGAGGTCACGGTGGACAGCACCACAGCCAGCCTGTATGCTGCCTTTCTGCCCAGTCAATAGCTCAGGACACCTCCCCTGAGTCCTATCAAGTTCCGGAAACAATGCCTGCGTTTAAATCCTGGCTTCCTCAGGCAGCAGCAAACTGCTCAAAAATCTCTTTTCCGCTTCCTTAGCTGTAAAATAAGGCAGTGCTGCTCTCGGAGACGTGTAGAGAACTCTTCCGAGAGCATGCAGAGAGCACTTAGCCCAGTGCTGGCCGAACTGTATTTAACTGCTGAAAGTGACATGAGGCAAGGAGATGTAGGTAGGAAAAGGATCTGTGATAAAAAGCTATGAAATGTTTGCCATTTCCTTAACCTACTAACGAGATATGTACTTGATTACACCAGCTTCATCCGAGTCTCCCTTACTCCACTAAACTGACCACAGAGAACAATGGAATGCCTAGCCTGTGACACAGACACACACACACACACACACACACACACACACACACACACACACACCACACACACACAAATACTTTTTTAAAAAGTCACAGAAGTCCACTTACCTCATTATGGAGGTTAATGGTATAAATCACATTACTACCCTGTCCAACGAAATAGCCACCAACTACATGTTCCTATTTCTACTTTAACTAAATACAGTCCTCCATTACACTAGCCAAACTAGAAATGCTCAACAGTCTCAGGCCACTAGTGACTAGCTTACTGCACAGAGCTACAGGGCTAGTCAACATTTTGAGCGTTCACTGTGCTAGGTACTGATACATAGGGTAGTACTGCCTCCATCTTAGGCCTGGAAGCCATCTTCTAATAAGGCAAATTAGGTTCATCTCTGTTTATGATTAAACCTGTTTCTCAAGGATTGGGCTGTACCCTACCTGTAACCTTAACTACAAATGGTTTTGCACTGCCAGGAATAGCAATCATGTCTTTGTTTCAGGAAGTTGTACTGACCGTCTTGCAAACCTACCTTTGTTTCAGAAGGTTGTTATGACTACCTTGACAACCTGCTGCTATGACTACCTTGTTACGACCACCTGGCAATCATCTTTTGTTTCAGGAAGAACTAACTTGTTACGCTTATGTTCTGCTCCTGTAACCCACCTATTTTCCCCACCAAGTCCTCCATTTGGAAACCCCCAACTCCTAAGCTATAAGCCTTGTTTTCCACACATCCAATGCTGACCTCTCGAACCCCACCTTAGGGGGAAGCAGCCCTTGTATAGTAATAAAAAAGGCTGCTTTAATTAATTGTTTGTCTTACTGATTTCTCATGATGATTTGGGCTGGTAGTCTTTCTCCTCGAATCTTTGGGGTTAACAGTACTGTGCTAGGCACAGGCAGGGGTACAGAAAGATAAGCCACCTTCGTCCTTAAAGCACGCATGTCTGCTGGTGTGCCAACAGCAATAGTCACAATTGCTAGAACAGAGCTAGCAGTATTTATGAG